AAAAAAAAATAAGTTAGTCATAAAACGTTAGATATATCATAGAGGTAAACAAATAGATAAAAATAATTCGACCTTCAATATAAATTCGAATTTTTTTTTGAATTATTTTGTATTTTGACGCAGTTGTAATAATGACGCATGCGCAGAATAGAAATGAAGGTGTATAATGATTCTCAATTTTAATCTGTGTAAAAAAATTGTAATAAAGAATTATTTTTTACAAAATATTACATAATGTATACTTGTTAAGATGCAAAAAGTTGGTAAGTGCGTTTTCTCATAAGGTTCTGATGAGAATGTAAAAAGAAACTTATAAGTCTCTGGTGAGAATCTAATAAGAATTTTATAAGACTCTAGTAAGAATGCAGCGGGAATCAAATTTTTATTAAAAATGTTGAAAGCTGTTTTTTTATTATTGTAATATTTGTAAATTTTAATATCCGATTTCGAAATTATAAGAAAGTTTTGAAATTATTTCAATATATCGGATATCATTTTTTAAATATATTCATTAATAATTTTTTTATTAAAATTATTTATTGCATAAATACGATTTTCTGGAAATTTTTAAATCTACTTTTTTGTTTACTAATTTTGCGTTTCACTTAAAAACTTATAAAATTAAATGCAATGGTTAAAATCTCAAAATTATGTTTGATTGATTTTTAAAATTTCAAAACCCAAAGTTAATTTAATTACTTTCTTTGAGTACAATTTTTTTTGGCGTTTTCAGATTTTTTGAATTTGACTTTTTCAAGAACCAATAATGAACTTTTCCATGCAAATCGAAATTTTTCTTCCTCCGTCTTGCAAACTCCCATGCCAGACAGCTTGATATCAAGAAGTAGTTTTCACTAAATCCAAAATATGGTTTCTAAGGATAATAACCTTCTGGTACATTATATATCACATTACTATTAGAGTAGTCTCATCTGAAAGAAAGTGGTCAACCATTGGGTTGCCTTCTAAAAATATTAGGTTAAAATTCAGAACTCATTGCAGCACTAATAAAATAACTAAAAATTGTACATTGTGATTTTTCAAAAATTATTTTTATTATATATCGTTTTCAAATTATTATATGCAAAAATTAGTATCCGTACAAATATATACACACATAGATTTCTCAAAAATTTGCTAAAATAATCAGAATGTATATATGGCTTTTACTAATGTGACATTTTAATGATTTCTTTGGAAAAAATATGCAAAAGTGCTAGAAATAATTTGCAACTAATTTTTCAGGTTGTCTGGTCAAAACTAGAAATAAATACCAAATGTTTAAATATAGCTTTTTTATTCATTTTATTAATATTTATAATAATGTATTCATTAATAAATTAGACATTATTTTTATCCTGTATCATATTGTTCCAACACACATTTTTTCAAAATATCGATAAAACGATAAAAAAATATTTCTAACAATTTATCGATAATTTGAAATAAATACAATAACATTTTTCACTCACAATTAAACATTTATGATTATATTTTGTCTTATACTAGAAATAGAGATTTGTTCCGACTGAACTTTTTTTAAGTTTTGTCGGAACAAACTTAATGTAATAATAAAAAAATAAATAATAATATATGTACAAATATTTTGAAAGAATGTTTAAATCAAGTTACTAACGGGCAAGTAATATAATTTTTTTGCATCAATAAAAATCAAAATAAATATTCATAATAATCTATATTAATATTACAATTATGTAATTGTATGCTATAATTATTAATTTACTTATTTATTTATATTTTAATATCAAGGAATGAAATTATGGGAAGATCACATTTCAAAAACACCAATATATATATATATATATATATATATATATATATATATATATATATATATATATATATGAGAAATGGGATAGAATCACTCAATCACACTTATTATTATTTTTACAGAATAAATTTGTCATAACAATAGTTTGTTTTTCCCAAAAATTCAAGTGTACACTGAGGGTTTTATAAAAAAAATGCATTTTTTGCAGAAAATGCACTTCGTGAAACTGACAGAGTGCTGATGACAATTTAACAAAAAAATTCAAAAATTATACTAAAAATCATTCAGATTTTTGAAATCAAGTAAATAAGAAACTAATACTTCTGTATTATTTATAAACAAAAAAATATTATATATTAATTTTTTATATCTTGTAAGAAATGCATACAATTTTAAATAAACTATTAGATATTAATCTATAATTTTATCAGAACAAGCCCTCAGTGTACGCATTTTTCTTAATATATTTAATTGGGCTGACGTTTCGTATATAAATTTGTTCCTTCATCACGACAAAAAATCTGATTTTATTTAATTTAGATTTATTATATAAGATTTTCATATAATTAAAACTTGTAGAGGGGACGAAAAACGTTCAGTCAATGACATTCAAGGTCAGTCAATGTCAGTTAAGGTCCTTCAAGGTTAATTATTTGAATATCCTAAATATCCCAAAAAATCTAATTTGTGTTCTTAATTTATTTAATCAGACTGACGTTTCGTCTATAAATTTGTTCCTTCTTCATTTTATATTCGATTTTTATTTAGTTAAATTTCGTTCAGAGAAGAAAAACGTTCAGTCAAGGTCAGTCAAGGTTAATCAAGGTCCTTCTAGGTCATTTCAATCGAGAAATTTAAAATACCCTGCAAAAATATTATTTAAGTCCACAGTACCTTTAGTAAAAGTTCATTCAAAGTATGAAAAACATTGATGAAGGCAACAAACTTGTTTCGAAACTTCGCCAAGAGAAAAAAATAGTATTTATTTAATTAAACCTGACGCATTGGTTTGCCTTGGTTTAGAAAAAAATCAATATTGAAAAATATTTTAGGAATTACAATTTTCATAAAGTGTAAAAAAACTGATAAAGGCTAAAAAAATGTATCAAAGTTAAAACAGAGAGTACAATTATTTTTTATAATGTTGTACTTATATTGAAAAAATATATGTAAGATAAATGATATGTTGGAAAATATTTGACTAATATAAATTATTTTTATTTATAAAATGTATTGAAGTTAGATGGTTATTTTGCTAGTTTGGACTAATAAAATTACAAAATTACAAATTAAGTGCTGTAAATTAATTTTTAATTTTTTTTAATATAAGTACAACACAAACTGATTTTCAGGGTACCTTACCCCGACATATAATTACATAAATCATCAATTATCATTATTATTATGCGAGTTTTATTTTCACCAACTCATCAATTATTATGAGTTTTGTACGAATTCTACCTAAGTTGTTTATACCTAATATGAAAATATTATCATATCATATGAATTTTGGTTTTATTCTAGCATTCTAAGTACCTTCTTGTTATTTATTTAAAATATTGCATTTATGTATATTTTATAAAACGAATATTATTATTAGTCTATAGTTTAAGTACATCATAATAGGATAGTGTAATATAATATATGTAGCAAAATTTTGGACAAAATCATTTTGTTTCGATTGGAGAGATCAAATATTTGCTGACAATGATAAACAATACTTTTGTCTTGACGTAATAGAAATAAGAAAAAAACTTTTGCACAAACCGAATTAAATTTTATTTTGTAAATAGCAAAAAAGAATATTTGACTAATTGTCAAATTTAAATAATTTATTCTTTGGCAGCAATCAAAATAAAAAATAAAGAGCAAAAATAACCCAAAACAAAATCCTAAAAAACCGTATGTAAACAGAATTGCAATTTCGTTAAATAGATACAATACACAAGTACAATACACAATTTTTATATCGAGGTAAAAAATAACAAAAATTTATTCATAAACTTTTATCAAAATAAATAATTTACTTCCTACTATTTTTATTTCCTACTATTTATTACTATTTGATCTCATGGATTCCAACAATTCACGACTTCATTTTTATTTATTATATTTTATATAACTAATACTGTTTATAAATATTCTATTATTATTATTATTATTCTGATATATTATTATCATTAAGATTAAGATATAATTGGATTTATTTAGTTGGAATTATCTTATTTATGGAATCGGATATACATTTCGTGAAATCGTTGGAATCCTTTGGAAACAAAATGATTTTGTTTGAGAAATTTGAGACATGGGTCCAGGAAAAAAAAATTAATGGATAGAGTATTTCACAATGTTGTGAAAAATACAAAATCTCACATACAAAAAAAAATACTTGATGCAATTTTAATTTTTATGTAATTGAAACTTGTAGAGAGGACGAAAAACGTTCAGTCAAGGTCATTCAAGATGATTCAAGGTGATTCATTCATTCAAGGTCAGTCAATGTCAGTTAAGGTCCTCAAGGTTAAATATTGGAATATCCCAAATATCCCAAAAAAAATCTAATTTATGTTCTTAATTTATTTAATCAAGCTGACGTTTCGTATATAAATTTGTTCCTTCTATATTTTATATTCGATTTTTATTTAGTTAAATTTTGTTCAGAGAAGAAAAACGTTTAGTCAAGGTCAATCAAGGTCATTTAAGGTAATTCAATGTCAGTTAAGTTCCTTCAACGTCCTTCTAGGTCATTTCATTCGAGAAATTTAAAATATTCTGCAAAAATATTATTCAAGTCCACAGTACCTTTAGTAAAATTTCATTCAAAGTATGAAAAATATTGATGAAGGCAACAAACTCCAAGGTCAGTCAAGGTCAATTAAGGTCAGCTAAGGTCATGTAAGGTCATTCAAGGTCAGGCAAGATCAGACAGTGTCAATCAAGGTCAGTGAAGGTCAGTATATCAATTAAGGTCTAACAGTCTGACACATTCTCATTATTTTTCTCGATTTTGTTGAAGTTAAGAATTTTGAATAGTTACTAAACAATTTCAGAGAAAAATCTTGAATTGAAGTACATTAGCCTAAAATCAATAAACGCCAAATACCAAATTATAAGTTGAGATTTTTTTGATTGAGAAATACCCAATCATCAGTATATGTGCTAAATATAAATTCCTAGATCTACAACTGATTTATAATTTTTTTAAAGGACACTTGTCTCAAATTTTCCGAATTTCTCGACGATGATGATTTTGTCTAAGCATGAGCCTCACTATTTTTCAGTCTGTAATTTTCTAAACAACTTAAACGTTACAAATGCATTTCACATTCATGAATCTAATAACAAAACCTTTTGCTGAAATGCAAATATTAGCTAGATAAATTAAGTAAAAAATCTTGATAAGAAATTAGAGAAAATGTGATAAAAACCTACAACTTCTCTAAAATCTTCTAAAACAATATTTTATTAATACTGCTCCACCAACAAACAAAAATCGTCTACCCTAACAATATTTATCTAGTTATAGAAAAAGAAATCTACATCACACATTCGTCCTCTTCATACGCCCGATTCTACTCGCAGTCCCACCGTTAAGGAACTCCGAAGAGCTTCCCAAACTATTACAATTGGATATCACATTCTGAGAACCATTGGACGACATCATGACACACGCGCCATTTGGTAAATCACAAACATTCGCCGAATTTTTTGCACAAGGTAAAAGGTAAATGTCTGATGGGTACTTTTTACTACTTCGCAACCTGGGGGTGGATTTAGATCTTGGTTTGGCCAGTTGACCATCACAATCGGAAGAATCTTTGGATTCCAATTTATTTGTACACCCGTTGGTCTTCTGAGACCTCGTCCTGGATCCTGATCTTTTCCTGGATCTTTGGCTGTCGTCGCTCCTGGTGTCTGCTGATGATCCATTATTGGTGCAATCCAGGATTTCTTTTCGGCATCTACAGCATAATGACGTGTGTTTCATGTCTGTGTGTAAGGTTGACGACTGTTGTGCAGAATTATTTGATGTCCTGTTTAGGCGACGGGGAAGGCTGGACGCGTTCGTCAAGCGTTTTCTGGTCTTTTCCGAACCGCCGTCACTGGAATCACTCGCGCTGCGATTGGAGAAAATTATGGATTAAATATAAAGGTCATAGATAAAGGAAAATATATATATATAAAACAAAACAAAAGCTGACAAATGTTTTTGTTAATTTAGCAAAGAATTTGGGAATGACTCTGAAAACACTGTGATAACTCAAATTATAGAATTAGTGGATTACGTAACTCGTAAGACATTATAATTAGGTTTTGTCGGTTTTAGGAAACCGGTTTCCAGGAAAAAAATATGAAAAACAAGTAGAATTAGTACCGGTATCTTAAACTAAATAATAGTGGAAAAAACGAAAAAATAGCAACGAATAATAATACTTTTGATAAAAATGATTGAGACATTTTGCTCTCCACTTTAAAATAGCATGGTTAAAAAGTACGTAAACGTATCGTAAACTTAATAAGAGTGCTCAAAATAAATAAAAAATAACAACAAATAAAAATAGTTCTGTTACAACATTTAGGGGGATATGAAATCGATAAAATATTTATGAAAACACTTAAAAATCGATAAATGTCCTTTGTTTCACTATCATGAAAATATTTGCACTCTTAGGTTTTTAAAAAAATAGGCATAAACAACAAATAATTGATTTTTTTCTATAGTTATTTAATCCTGGTCAACTAATACGTTTTTGTTCTTCTAAATTGCATAAGCAAATTTATTATTAACTAGTGGTGTATGGCATCGGGCCTTAAGGCAAATTGCTGGAACTTCCCGTACCGTAATGAAATATTCGAGAAATTTTAAACGTTTTCAAACATATTATCACATATACTGTAACTTTCATTATTTTTGCTATCTTGTTATATCTGAGCAAATCAAAATCAAATGTAAATCATAAGTCAATTTATCTCCAGAACATTAACAATCGTCATTTCATTTCGAATTCAATTTCAAAAAAAGAATAGTTGCCCAAAATAGTTACACAAAATTGAATGAGTGCTCCCGTATAGTCACAGTCTAAACGCATTTGCAAATAATTCTGTGGGACATTTTCACTTATACTGTGCTTAGCTTGGCGGCATTTTCACATTTTTCAATAGTTTTCACAAAATTGGATAAGTGCTCCAGGTACATAAGCAGTCTAAACACAATTGGGTAAACATTTGTACCAGAGTGGCGCTTAGACTGTGCTTAGTCTGGGTAACTTTTTGAATTTTTAATCCAAAAAAAATTATAAAAATATTTTATGGAAAATAAAACAAGATGTAATAATTTTTTATCCAAAACCGGTTTCGAGATTTTATAAAGAAAAAACAATTTGCTCGAATAAGTCTAACAAAAATTTAATATTAATAAAATTAGACAGTAAATAATTTCATCCAGCTTTTAATCACCCGAAATTTTTCTCATAAAATTTTTTGTTCAAATTATTCGAGCAAATTGTTTTTTTTTATCATAAAAACTCGAAACCGGTCGCAACCGGTTTCCCAAAAAAAATCCACCGAAAACCGGTTTTCTTAAATGTCGGTTTTTGTATAAACATAAGGACAAGCGTAAAAATCGACAGTTGAAATTTTAAAAAAAGTTTATAAATTTACAAGACAATAATTTCAATATCATGCTTGAAATATAAAAATAAGTTTTTCAAACATGCACTTCTGGTGTTATATTATACTAAACATTTATTTATATTATTTACTATAAATGAATAGAGTCTATATATTTTTTTGCATAAATAAAACAAATTAAGCCTTAGTGTGCAATGTGCAATTATACACATGATCAATTTTTCTCAATTTTCAAGATTGTTACTCAATTTATTGGAAAAGTTCACATTAGTTACAAAAATTATTATATATGGAAACGATAAAATTCATTACACCCAATTAAATAAAAGTTTTCATCTGCAATTAGCTTAATATTATACCATATCCATATGATCAATATTATTCATTACTTAATTAATATCCATGCTAATCAAAACTATTTTTTGCATTTCATCACATGCCCAAGAATTACCTATACATAAAAACTCATAATAATATTTAAACATATTTTAGTATTCACAGGATTTTCAAAAAAATTCATCAACTCACCGAATTCGTTCCATTTAGCTGCTTGAAATACAAAATAAATTCTTTTTTGTCAACAGTTCTCGTTTTTCGATTTTTTTTTGGCAAATTCACACACACACACACATTTCTCCATTCATCATTTGAAAATCAAAATCATAAAACATGCTGATGAAATAATAATATTAATAATTTAAAATATTAAATGCATTAAAACTACCGAGTAAATGCAAAAATAGGTGAAAACCAAGTTTAAATGCTAATCAAGTGTTAATTAAAAGCCAAACCATGCCAATTAAATGAAAAAAAATCAAAAACAACTTTTAATGACATCAACTAATTTTGGAAAATTAATTATTAATTAATTTTT